AATACGCTTGTCGGTGTTTGCAAATGCAGCCGTGGCAAACGTATTTATTAATTAAAGTCGTTCGCGACGCATGTGTTTCGGTAATCTATCGTGAGTGCCAATATAATCCCAGGTTTCTTAGGGTGATATTTATAAAAATATATACTTCTTGTAGACGAGGCAGGGGTGTGTATGGGTAGGGGGGGTGAAAGGTGGTGTTGCAAGCAAGCCCTCGTTCAACGTGCAGCCGAGTGTTGCGTGCCATGGCGCGGCCCAACCGGAGGCGAGGGTGAAATCCACCGTTTTACGAGCTAATCGTCCCAAGGCACTCGGGGAGGGGAGGCGAACAAGGCACGTCATGCTCAGAGAGAGAGAGAGAGACAGAGACAGAGACAGAGACAGAGAGAGAGAGGGGGGGGGGGTGCCTGAAGTGAAATCAAGTGGGAGGGAAGGGGAAGCGTAGTCGTAGGGGTAGGGGAAGAGGAAGGGGAAGGGGTAGGTAGCAGGGGGAGTATGAAGGGGGAGGAACTGATGGCTCTTGATGGATCTTCTGTCATTTTTTGACATTGCTCTTTGTGTGCATTGAGTGTTGACAGTTTTTTTTTTGTCATTACGATCTTTTCTTGTTATCGTGATAGCGAGGATTATCATAGTCATAATGGTGATTATTATTGTTATTTGAATTTATCATTATTGCCATCGCTACTATTTATTTATTTATTATTTTTGTTATTATTATTATTGTTATTATCATTATTATTATTACCATAACTACTCTTATTGTTATTGTCAGTACGGTTAGTCCTGTCATCGTTGTGATTGCCATTATTATTTCTGGAATTATTGATAATCAAAATGCTCGGATAATTTCTCATTAATATTATGATAGCTGTCATTAACCGTCTTTCCACAGTCACATACGAATATTTTTTAGACGTGCACTGTTAATAGCAATTTTTTATGTTTCCATATTTCCGTAAAAAAATATATATATGAATTAATATTTGTTTTTCTCTTTCCTCCGCAGGTGAGTTCACCACAATCGAAGGATGGGACATGTTACGTGAGTGTCATTATGGTGACGTGACTACTAATGCATCTGTCTGTCTGTCTGTCGGGGCTCGGCTCTTGGTGAAGGCATTCGCTCCTGTCTCGTTGAGTAGGATTAGTATTATGATTATTATTAGTATGGTTATTGTTAGTTTTATTAGTATTATTGTTATTGTTTTATTATTAGTATTATTGTTGTTTTTATCTTTATTATTATAGTTGAGGTTATTTATTGTAGTAGCAGTTATATTATTGCTGTTATTGTTAGTCTTGCTGTTATTACCATTACTGATATTATTATTATCATTATAAGTATTCTTGTTACTATTATTGTTGTTGTTATTGTTAGTCTTGCTGTTATTACCATTACTGTTATTATTTTATTATTGTTGTTCCTGTCATTTTTTTTTACTTATTTATTGTATTAACGCCTGGATGATATACTTAAGGCGAGGAAACGACGACCCAGATTTCTATCAAAGAAAGTTGATCGTCGACGAAAGAGCAAGCTTTTGCAAGATCAGTCGGTGCAAGGCCATTCCCTAAAAAGCAAGATCTATGGGGGCGAATCGTTTCCAGGAGCAAGAGGAGGTTGCTCGCCAAAAGGCAGCTCGTTTTGGGGTTTTAGGGGTCGCTTTGCTGTTGGATTTTCAAGTCAGGTTAAGGAGGGAAGTTTTTTTTTTCTTTTTTTATGATTGTAGATGTTGCGTTGTATTGTTGCTGTTTCTTCCGTTATTTTTTATTGTTATTGTTATTAATATCATCACAATCAACAATAACATAATGATAATAATAATAATAATAATAATAATATTAATTATTATTATTATTGATGTTGTTTATGAAGGATTAGGCATTTATTTATAGGGACTGTTATTGCCATGCTTGTCCACTCGTCATACGGTGGAAAGAATTTTTTAAAGAACACAAATAGAGCAAAAGAATAAAGTAAAAGCGGAAGTGAGAGCGAACAAACGACTGATAACAAGTGGCATTTCTATCCCCCTCCCCTCCCCCTCCCTCTTCCTCCCTCCCTCTCCCTCCCTCCCTCTTCCTCCCTCCCTCTTCTTCGCTCCTCCCCTTCCCTCCTCCCCTTCCCTCCTCCCCTTCCCTCCTCCCCTTCCCTCCTCCTCTTCCCCTCTTCACAGTTAGGATCGGACCAGACATGGTAGTTGGTCATTTATTTATTCAAAGATTCGATCTAGCTTCAGTATTCACGCGTTTTCTCTCTCTCTCTCTCTCTCTCTTCCTCCCTCCCTCCCTCCTCCCTCCCTCCCTCCCTTCCCTCCCTCCCTCCCTCCCTCCCCTCCTCCATTCCTCCCTTCCTCCTTCCCTCCCTCCCTCCTCCCTCTCTCTCTCTCATTCCTCCTGTCCTCTCTCCCTCCTCCTCTCCTTGCCTCCTCTCCTCCTCTCTCTCTGGTCTCTCTCTCTCTCTCTCTCTCTCTCTCTCTCTCTCTCTCTCTCTCTCTCTCTCTCTCTCTCTCTCTCTCTCTCTCTCTCTCTCTCTCTCTCTCTCTCTCTCTGTTCCACTCTCTCACTCACTCACTCTAGTACATGTCCATAGATTTATGTATAGATTGAGAGACAGGTAAGGGAAGTGAACGTATAAATAATTTCTTCGAAGAATGTTCCGTGTTCGGCGCACTTAGCACGCACGGCCTAAGAGGGAGAAAGAGGGTAGTTTTTATGAGAGAGGGAGAGAGAGAGAGAGAGAGAGAGAGAGAGAGAGAGAGAGAGAGAGAGAGAGAGAGAGAGAGAGAGAGAGAGAGAGAGAGAGAGAGAGTGATGGGGAGGGGGGAGGGGGAGGGAGGGAGAGGGAGAAGGAGAAGGAGGATTGGGGAGGGTGGAGGGGAAGGGAAGGGGTAGGTGAGGTTGGGGGTGAGGAAAGAGGAAGTAGAGAGAAGATTAGGGAAGAGAGGCAGGAGGAGTGAGAGTGAGAATGAAGAGTGAGTGGGGAGTGAGGGATAGGGAAGGAGGAAGAGAATTTCATTTTTCTTTCTGTGATATTATATTTCTCTTTCCTATCCCCTTTCATCGCAGCCACCCACCTTTCTGTCTGTCTCTTTCATCTCTCTTCCCCACTCTTCTCTTCACCTCTGTTTCCACGGCTTTCTTTCTTCTCTTCTCCCCCTTTACTCTCCTTTCTCCATTCTCTTTCCTCCTCTCTCTATGTCCATCTGTTCTCTTCTCTTTCCATCTAGTCTTTCCTTTCCTCTCTCCATCCTGTTTCATTTCCTTTCCTTTCTCCTCTCCTTCCCTCTTTCCATCTCCCTCTCTCCTCCCTTCTCTCTCCTTTCTTCCCCTCTCTCCATCTCCCTCTTTCCTCCCCTCTCTCCATCTCCCCTCCTCTTCTCTCTCTGTCTCCGTCTTTCCTCCCCTCTTCCCATCTCCCTATTTCCTCCCGCGTCTCCATCATTCCCGGTTCCTCAGCCAATAACAGTTTGCAACTTTCCCTTGCTTGGCAGCGCTTCAGCCTCCTCCCAAAGTGGTCTGCGGGGAGACATGCTCTTCCTGCCGCCCACCGACTCTTTAAGCGAGTTGGACAAGCTTGCACTCTCGCCTGCAAGCACTGAGGCGTCCAGATCACGTGCAATTTATCTGGTGTATCTTAGGCTGACAGAACCACAAGCAGGCAGGGCAGATAGATACGGACACACATGAACGTATGAATGTATGTATGCGCATATGTATATGAATATGCGTACTCGTTCTCTCTTTCTGTCTCTCTCTGTCTGTCTCTCTCTCTCTCTGTCTGTCTCTCTCTATCTGTCTCTTTCTGTCTGTCTCTTTCTGTCTGTCTCTCTGTCTCTCTCTCTCTCTCTCTCTCTCTCTCTCTCTCTCTCTCTCTCTCTCTCTCTCTCTCTCTCTCTCTCTCTCTCTGGAAAGTTGAGATGCTGTAAGGTGGAAAAGAAAAAGAGGAAGAAAGTCCAGCGTCAGGGTCTGATTAATGCGTGAGTACCGCGAGTACATTGTTGAAAGTTGGGGCGGGGGACTTTTGGGTAACTGGAACACTTAGTTACGTATCTCCATAATGTTAGTTTTTTTTATATTTTATTTAGTATGATTTTTTTTGTTTGTTTATGTGTTATCGTGGAGGTCCTAAGTGGGCGCTGGTATTTCTTGGTTTAATCTCGTTATCGTGTGACTAATGAGTTTTAATTGTCGTGTGTTAGTGGCTTGGTTTGTTGGTTAGTTCTGGGTCGACGAGTTGAGCGGGTGTCATCATCATCTCTTCCTCTTGCTTTTCCTCTTTCTCTTTCTTTCTCTTCCTCTTTCTCTTTCTTTCTCTTCCTCTTTCTCTTTCTCTTTCTTTCTCTTCCTCTTTCTCTTTCTTTCTCTTCCTCTTTCTCTTTCTTTCTCTTTCTTTCTTTCTCTTCTTTCTTTCTCTTCTTCTTTCTATCTCTTTCTCTTTCTCTTCCTCTTTTTCTTTCTCTTCCTCTTTCTCTTTCTTTCTCTTTCTTTCTCTTTCTCTCTCTCTCTCTCTCTCTCTCTCTCTCTCTCTCTCTCTCTCTCTCTCTCTCTCTCTCTCTCTCTCTCTCTCTCTCTCTCTCCCTTTCCCTCTCCCTCTCCCTCTCCCTCTCCCTCTCTCCCTCTCCCTCCCTCCCTCCCTCCCTCCCTCCCTCCCTCCTTCCTTCCCACTCTCCCCTCCCTTCCCTCCCACTCTCCCCTCCCTCTCTCTCTTCCCTCTCTCTCTCTTCTCCCCTCTCTCCCCCTCCCTCCCTCTCTTTCACTCACCCTATCTCACACACTAACTCACTCGTCCATTGTCTATCTCACTCCACCCCTCCTCTTCTTCCCCCACCTCCCCCTAGCCCCCTGACCCACTTCCACCCTACCCCTTGCCCCCCACCTCATGGCCTGCCCTGCCCTGGCCTGCCCTGGCCTGCCCTGGCCTGCCCTGGCCTGCCCGCCTGCACTCCGCCCCCTCACACACACTCACACACAGTATCCGTGTCCCGGGTCGGGTCGCTTCCACGCTGCGAGGCTGGCTAGTCTCGTTCTCGTGTGGCTGGGCTGCAGGTCGCTCGCTTGCTCGCTGGCCTGCCTGGCGGGGAACTGCTTTTGTTTACAGCGGCGCTCTCACGGGGTAAAGGAAGGAAGGACGGAAGGAAGTGAGGAAGGAAGGGAGAAAAAAAAGGAAGGAGGTTTTTTTTTACGTGGAGCGAGGCGGCGGCCGATGATTGCCGTTGTTATTGTTGTTGTTGTTATTATTATGCACGGGCGTGGGAGTGCGGTGTGGAAAAGGAGGGGTATTTTTCTTTCATTTGTTTATGAGGTGCCTATTTATTTGATTTTACGTATTATCACCGGTGAGGATGTATCAGGTTTTGAAACGATACGTGTGTCTAGCCGGGAATTTAATCAGACTTCGAGAGTGATACAGTATGAGTGACCTCGTCCGGTAGAACACTTTGTCATTGCAGTTGCTTTTTAGTGAAAGAGAAGCTGTGACCTTGGATAGTGCCAGGTGAATGACCCAAGGTCGACTCACATAGCAACCTACGCGAGTGCCAAACACTTCCTCTTCCCATCCCCCCGTTTATACTTCTCAGCCCCCTCCCCTCTCCCGCTCCTACTCCTCAGCTCCTTTATCCCCCCCTCCCCCCTTCTCCATCCTTCATATCATTCCTTCTCTGCCCCCTCCTTCACATTTCTCACCTAGTTCTCAGCCCCCTCCACCCTCTCCTTCCTGTCTCTTTGTCGCTCCTTCGTCTCGGCTTCATCCTCCCTCCCCCCCGGGCATCTCAGCCCCCATCCTCTCCTACCTACTGCTCAGCCCCCTCCCCACACGCGCCCTCCACCATCTGGGTCCTCTCCCTCTCTCCCTCTCTCCCTCCTTTGCTTTTTCTCCTCTTCTCCTCCTCCTCCTGCTTCTCCTCAACTCCTTCCCACTTCTCCGCCCCCCTCCTCCTCCCCCTCTCAAGCCCTTCTGACCCCGCCCCCTCCCAGTCCCAACTCCCCGGGGGCTTGCGTTATGTTCGTGACACCGCCACATGACTGGTGGAAAAAGGTTGATGATGGCAGGTGTGCACGTGACAGCTGGTCAAAACAGGTGAGGGAAAAAAGGGGGGGAGAGTACTTCCGCGTGGTGGGAGGAGAGGGGAGAAGGGAGAAAGGGAGACGCGGAAAAGGGGAGCTGAGAGACTAGGAAAGGAGGAGAGCGGGAGAGGGATGCGGAAAGGGTCTGAGAGACCGAGGGAGAGGGGGAAAGGGTGAAAAAACCGAGGGGAGCTCTTGGTTTTCTTTTTTATTCATCTTTTTTTTATTTGCCGGAATTAGGGTTGCTGAAACGTAAATAGAGATATATGTTCGGCCGTAGAAATGTATGGAGCCCGGTGAGGTATTTCACGCACTGTCGGAAACGGCCTTGCGGATGTAGATGCGTATCGGATGCACGGGGATGGAAGTATGCGTGCATATACCGTAGAGTTTAGGTGGTTGTGATTTTGGGGCGGTCGAAAGGAAGAGTCTCTATGCATATGATATATATATATCTATGAATTTTTAAGAATGCAGATGATGTATGCGGTGATTTGAAGTAACAAAAACATACGGTGTTTCGGAAGAACGAATATGAAAGACGAGGAGGCGAAGAAGGGAAGAGAGAAACAAACTTCCTTGTGGAGAAAGTTGTGCATCGGAGGCAGTGCAAGGCGCAAGGCAGGTTGAGCAACATCTCGCGTGCAGATCAGCTGAATAAGTCTCCATTCCGCGTGGCATCTGACTCCATCTTCCCTTTGTCTCTTCCTCGGTGCCGCTTGGGGGTCACGCGCCTGCTGGGGGCGGAGCAGGGGGGGGGGTGAAGTGCCGCCTGCGGGGCGTCCACGGCGGTGTTTCTTTAATGCTGGTGATTGTGTGTTTTACATACACATGCTCTTGTAGACATAGGTGCACACGCATGTACATATTTGATGCATATACGTGCAGATAAAATAGACACCAAGTGACAGATAGAGTGGTAACTGTAGCAATGCATTGTGGGCAGTTGCGACAACTTCATGGTGTAAAATAGATTTTGAGAGTGATTTTTATTTGGCCACGGTTGAAGTGTTTTCGCCAAGCATTGCGATGGAGTGCAGGTCAAAGGTCAAGGGTCAAAGTGTGTTTGTTGCAAAGCATTGTGTTATTTCATTTTGCGCGGCCTTTTGTGAGCGGCAGCGGATCGAGTAATTAATCGGGTTTTAGCATCGGCCGCGTATCACTTTCCACCGTGAGCAGATGAGGTTGCATTACCCCTCCCCTCCCGCCTCTCACCCCCGCCCTCTCCCTCGCCCCCTATCCTCGCCCCTTATCTTCGCCCCCTCCCTAGCCCTCTATCCTCACCCCTAACCCTTGTCCCTATCCCTTGCCCCCTCCCTCGTCCCCTATCCTCGCCCCCCACCTTTGCCTACTCCTTTGCCTCTACCCCAGCCCCCTTCTTCGCCCCCACCTTCTACCCCTCCCTCGCCCCCTACCCTCGCCCCCCCCCATCTTTGCCCCCTCCTTCGCCCCCCCCTACCCCCGCCTCCTACCCCCGCCTCCTACCCCCGCCTCCTACCCCACCCCCAGGACTTCAAAACAGCTGACGTGCTATGGCGTATTTTGCTTCTGGTGTAATGGACGTGTAATGCCGGCTGTTCGTATAGGGAATAAGAGGTTAATTAATGTAGTGAATTAGGAGTTAATTGAGGCTGATCCGGGTATAATTAATTAGAGGGGCTACGCAGTTTGTTTTTTTTTTTCGTCTAGTAAATTAGAGAAAATTGCTTGCGGAGGATAGGTCGGCGGTTGGAGGGGGCGTAGGGATGTTACCTTTACCCCGGGAAGGATATCCGATCTACGTGGAATACGGGCGGGGGGTGATGAGTAGGGGAGTAGGGGCTGGGTTAGGGGGGAAGGGGCGTGGTTAGTCTAGATCACGTGCAAAGAGTTGGGAGGTGTGTGTGTGTGTGTATTGGGGGAGGGGGGGAGGGGAGTTGAAGGTTGAGTGTGTGGTAGTACTCACAGGCTTAGGCTTATAGTGCGAGTCATGGGAGTGGATAGCCTTATAGTGGGTAATATAGTCAATAGGCTAGTCGTCACAGGTTTGTTGGGAACGTGGCTGTGGGGTTGTAATTTGCATACGAAGAGGCTTGTTTCTCTCTCTCTCTCATCTCTCTGATTCTCTTTTTTTTTATTCTTTTTGGATCTCTATTTTGTCTTTCTCCTTTCTTTCTTCTCTTTCCTTCTTTCCTCTCCTCTCCTCTCCTTTCCTTTCCTCAACTCTCCCCTCCTCTTCCCTCCTTTACCCTCCTCTTCTCTCTCTCTCTTTCTCTTTCTCTCTTTCTCTCTTTCTCTCTCTCTCTCTTTCTCTCTTCTCTCTTCTCTCTCTCTTTCTCTCTTTCTCTCTTTCTCTCTCTTTCTCTCTTTCTCTCTTTCTCTCTTTCTCTCTTTCTCTCTCTCTCTCTCTCTCTCTCTCTCTCTCTCTCTCTCTCTCTCTCTCTCTCTCTCTCTCTCTCTCTCTCCCTCTCCCTCTCCCTCTCCCTCCCTCCCTCCCTCCCTCCCTCTCCCTCTCCCTATATATATATATATATATATATATATATATATATATATATATATATATATATATATATATATATATATATATATATATATATATATATATATAATGGAGGTCTGTTTCATATGGCTTACACTCGCCAAGTGGGACTACGCATTACCGACCATTTGCAAGCATGTCCGCTGCACGCTACTGCTACTCACGGCCTTTTGATGTGAATATGTACACGGCTTGTTTCCTAAGTGCGGGTATGGTGGAGAGAGAGAGAGAGTAGAGTAGAGTAGAGTAGAGTAGAGTAGAGTAGAGTAGAGTAGAGTAGAGTAGAGGGGGGAGTAGAGGTAGAAGTAAAGACTAGGATACAGAGAGAGGTAATGAGAGAGTGAGTGAGTAAATGAATGAGTGAGTGAATGCGATGAACGGAGTTTGGTGATAATAAAAAAGTGATAATAATGATGACAATAAAGATAACAACACTATTCAAATAAATAAATGGCGTCATTTTCCTTTTGTTTGTGGCACGGTGCCGAGTGCAAAGGGGGGCGTGTTTGGGCAGTCACGAGTGTTGGGAGTACGCGTCCTTGGGGGCGTTTCGAGGGGAGGGGGGGGAGAGGGAAGAGGGAAGAGGGAAGAGGGAAGAGGGGCGAGAGGTAAGAAGTGGATAGGAGCGAGGGGTTGGGGAGGGGTTGGAAGGGAATAGAGAGGTGGATAGGAGGGAGGGGGGGAGAGGAAGAATAAGAGGGAGGGTAAGGGAGGGAGGAAGAGTAAAAGGGAGGGAAGGGAGGGAGAGGAAGAGTAAAAGGGAGGAAGAATAAAAGGGAGAGAAGGCTGAGTGGATTGAGGGGAGGGAAGGGAGAGGGGAGGGTGGGTGGGGGGACTAGAGGGGAGAAGGGGAGTGAATAGGGAGAGTGAGGAGTGGAGTGGACAGGAGGGCAGAAAGTTAAAAGGCCAGTGGCACCAACTCTGGCACTTGTCGACAACAGAGCAAATGTCTTTTATTTTGTCTTTTCCTTTTTTTCTTTTTCTTTTTTAGTTTTTAATATTGACTTAAGCCAGTTCGAAGGAACTTTTTCTAGACAAAACAATTTTTTTTTGCTTCGTCGTCTTCGTCTTTTGACACATTTCGGAAGCTGGGCAAGACAGAGCATCAATAAGGCTGACATCTTTAGAAGCGGCGAGAGGAGGAAAAAGGAGCTCGAGACGGCCGAGGTCCTCGGCCAAGGACGCTGAGGGGACTGATCGCACGATAAATATATATATATATATATATATATATATATATATATATATATATATATATATATATATATTATATATATATATATATTATATATATATATATATAATATATATATATAGAGTAGAGTAGAGTAGAGTAGAGTAGAGTAGAGTAGAGTAGAGTAGAGTAGAGTAGAGTAGAGTAGAGTAGAGTAGAGTAGAGTAGAGTAGAGTAGAGTAGAGTAGAGTAGAGTAGAGTAGAGTAGAGTAGAGTAGAGTAGAGTAGAGTAGAGTAGAGTAGAGTAGAGTAGAGTAGAGTAGAGTAGAGTAGAGTAGAGTAGAGTAGAGTA